TCAAGTCAATAAGTTATTCAGTCAAGTCTGTGTGTCATTCAGTCACGTCAGTGTGTCATTCAGTCACGTCAGTGTGTCATTCAGTCAGTCAGTGGTCATTCAGTCACGTCAGTGTGTCATTCAGTCACGTCAGTGTGTCATTCAGTCACGTCAGTGTGTCATTCAGTCACGTCAGTGTGTCATTCAGTCACGTCAGTGTGTCATCAGTCACGTCAGTGTGTCATTCAGTCACGTCAGTGTGTCATTCAGTCACGTCAGTGTGTCATTCAGTCACGTCAGTGTGTCATTCAGTCACGTCAGTGTGTCATTCAGTCACGTCAGTGTGTCATTTAGTCACGTCAGTGTGTCATTCAATCACACCAGTGAGTCATTCAGTCAAGTCAGTAAGTCATTCAGTAAGTCATTATGTTCTTATGAGTGGGAGGGGCTGGGTTTGATTGGTGTCATTGGGTACGGGAGTTATTTCTTGGGTAGCTTTAGGTAGAGGTCGTTTTGATAAGGACCTGCCTCGCATGGGCCAGTGGGCCTTCTGCAGTGTTCCTCCGTTCTTATGTTCTTAAGTCAGTAAGTTATTCAGTCAAGCCAGTAAGTTATTCAGTCAAGTCAGTGTGTTATTCACCTCATTTTTTTTAATTGTACGAAGTGACGCTTCATTAAGCCATAGGCCCTCACTATATACACCACACGTGAGCCATGCTTCAGCTTATCTAATATCTCAATTTTCTTAGTAATTCCTAGACTTGAACGCCTAAACCTTTTCTTGTCACTTGCGGGAACACTTGTGTGCTTACTGGGTGCCATGGTTGCTTGGCAGATTTAACAAATGGCAATGAAAATAAGAAAATATGTATGTAAATGAACACGAGCTTCCAAATACAGTGGACCCTCGGCTAACAATATTAATCCATTCCTGAGAGCTCATCGCGCTCAGGCCACACGTGGACGTGTCCCGGATGAGTCACATTGGGTGAGTTTTTTTATCGTTAGGTGCGCCAAAATTTTTACGCTCAAACGCTTCGTTAGGCAGATTTAACGTTATACGATGCATTCGTTAGCTGAGGGGTCCACTGTACTATTACATTTGTATTGCATTTGTAGTCTTAAGCAGTAATATATCACGACATTAGTATTGAAACAAAGATTGGCTGTAAAATCACAAGAACCACAATAAATTGTAATTATCTGAACATAAAAATGATGTAACTTTAAAAAAAAAATTCAAGAAAAAAGGGTATTTTGGCAACATTTCTGCAAGTTGCCGTCACGTGAGTGTCCAGCGCCAACTTTGTGGCCTTATATCTTGGCAAGTACTGACCCTAAATTATTTTGTGGGTCTTTTTACACAGAAAATTGCACTCCTTATTTAATTTTTTTTTTTTCCCAAAATATTCTGAGCACTAGCAGTGAAAACATGGATCAGTGTTTGGACAGTTAATGGGTTAAGGTTGTGGAAGCTTAGTGTATGTAAACTGGTTATAACAGACAGTTAACCCTTTCATGGTTGGTGCCGTACTAGTATGGCTTGTGCGCCAGGGTTGGTGCCATGCTAGTACACTTAAAATCTAGCGGCTTCAAATCAAGCAGGAAACAGCTGGTATGCCTAGATGTGAGAGAATGGGTCTGCGTGGTGAGTGTGTGCGGTAGGAAAAAATTCTGGAACCCAGTGGTGCATTGTGGGAGCGCCATTTTAGTACACCTTGCTCACCATGCCTTGCGGTAAGAAACTCCTCACTCCTCAGCGAATTGGGACACTTTTGTTCCCCAGTGACAGTTCTAATACAAATGGAAGTGCCAGTGAAAATGAGTTTCAAGGTTTTGATGAGGTTGTGACTGAAACTAATGACCATAATACCGGTAATAGTGAGGAAAGCCCAGACAACCCTCAGCCTTCCACCTCTGATGTTAGGCCGTCTTGTTCACGTTCAGTTGTACCAGAACCAAAGAGGAAACTCCTATTTTCCCATATCCCGGACCCAGATGTGAGCATTGGTGATGATAGCGAATATGAACTACAAGCACTTGAAAACAGTTCCAGCAGCAATAGTGAAGTGGAATATTCTCCAGTGAAGCGTCAGTATATATGATGGTACATGCGCTCTGGTAATGTGCCATATGCTACTCCAAGGGGAAGGAGTACATCTTGGAGTACATCCCATGGCTGTACAACAGGAACAGATAACAAAAATGAAGATGATAGTGTAGCAATTGGGATGGAAAATGTGCATGGTGGTGGTAGTGGTGGTGCCAGCCATGAGGCACCAGCAGTGGGCGATGCTGCCATCCATGCTGCCATCCACGCCACTGCCTCAGCTGATCTACAACAAAGGCCACCATCCCCCACCCACCCAGCCACCACACCAGCCTCCACAACCACAACCTCTACAATCACAACCACCTGCCCATATCCAGTACCCACCAACAGACTGCACCTGGGATTGGGAGGAAGCTGCCAATTTTGTTTCAAATCCCCATCAGTTTGATGAAAGCCAAAGTGGAATATTGCCATCTTGTACATTTGGGAACAATGCCACTGAACTAGAATGTTTCGAGTTATTCTTTGACGAACCCCTGATGGAAATTGTCAGGGAAAGCAACAGATACTACAAGTACACCATGGCAAACACAATACTTTCACCAAACTCACACCTACACCAATGGAAGGAGACAACTGTGGCTGAAATGTAGCTTTTGTTTGCCACATTAATGCTTATGCCACACGTGTATAGGCACAGTGTGAAATCATACTGGTCGACAGACCGCCTGATGGCAACCCCAGGTTTCAGGGAGTGAATTGATTTGTGCTTCTATTACGTATGCTTCAGTTTTCAGACAAAAACCAGGCCTGACAGAAATGACAGGTTATGTAAGATTAGGAATGTGTTTGTGTATCTGAAACAGAAATTCAATATGTATTTTATCCCTTCAGGAAGCTTGTTATTGATGAGTCTTTGATTCTGTTCAAAGGAAGACTCTCATTCAAGCAGTACATACCAAGCAAGAGGAAATGCTTTGGTATAAAGTTGTTTGTGCTTGGTGATTGTTACAGTGGTCTTGTATTGGATATAATTGTGTACACTGGAATACATTGCGAGATACCAGGAAGTTACTGGGCATCTCTGGTGATGTGGTTAGAACAATGATGGAACCATATCTTGGTAAGGGACATATATTATATACTGATAACTGGTACACAATCCCCTTAATCAGTGATTTCTTACGAGTGAACATGCGTATGGCACAGTGCGTGCAAGTTGTAAACATATGCTCAGGTTCAACGCTGGCACTCATAGAGGTGAGGTGCAGGCATTTGCTGCCAATGACATCATGGCATTTTGGTTGCATGACAAATGAGATGTCAAAATGAGTTCACCCTAACGAAATGGCAGACACTGGCAAGCAGCATAGAGAAAGCAATGAACCCTTTCTAAAACCTGCAGCTGTGATTGACTACACCCTCAATATGCATTCAGTGGACAAATGTGACATACAGATTGGGTTTGCTGATTGTGTTTGCATGAGTTATAAGTGGTACATAAAACTCTTTTTCCATCTTCTATATATTTCCATGCTCAATGCTTATAATATATATAAGATGAGGACCAGAAATAAACCACCATATGGCGAATTTTGTTTTCTGTCATCAGACAAATAATAATCAAGTACCAAGGAACAATACCTGCCAAAAAATTATCAACAACTACCTTCTCGTCTGAAGCATGGTGATCACTTCCTAACAAAACTGCCTGCTACTGCTTTCAAGAAAATGTTTTTTTTTTTTTTTTGAATTTTTACCGACCCTGAAAACAGTTTTGGGAGAAGGCCTGTCGACCCTCAAATGGTTAACCCTTTCAGGGTTTTGGCTGTACTAGTATGGCTTACGCGCTAGGATTTTTGACATACTAGTACTCATAAATTCTAGCGCCCTCAAATCTAGCAAGAGAAAGCTGGTAGGCCTACATATGAAAGAATGGGTCTGTGTGGTCAGTGTGTGTAGTATAAAAAAAATCCTGCAGCACACAGTGTGTAATGAGAAAAAAAAACTTTGACCATGTTTTTGGTTTAAAACAGCGACTTTGCGCTGTATTTTTGTATGGTATTTATTGTTGTATTCTAGTTTTCCTGGTCTCATTGTATAGATAGAAAACATATTACAGAAATTGAGATGATTTTGACGGTTTTACAATGAAAAGTACCTTGAAATTGAGCTCAAAGTAGCAGAAATGTTCGATTTTTACCAAAGTTCAAAAGTAAACAAATCATGCCAAGCGTCCAATACTCGTCAACTGGTAAGTCTAATATTCTTTCACAAGTGCGCCGATATTATTTATACCATTTCTACACTAATGCAGTAGCCTGCATAACAGTAAATCTTATTTTTTTTTTGTAAGAATAAAAAATCAAAGTGGAAAGCAAAAGAAATGTAAGAGGGGCCTGGGGATGTGACGTGAACAGAAGAAATGTTATTTTAGTGCCAGGAATGTCTTTCTTGTTTATTCAGGACTTTATTTGGAAATTGGCATCTTTTGAAATTTGTCTGAAATTGCCAAAATTGCTAAATTCTGACCACTTTACTGGATAGTTGAAATTGGTAAATGGGTGGTTTCTTGTACTCATAGAAAAAAAGGAGTTGTAGTGAAATAGTCATGATTTTTGTCGACTAGTACACTGGAATTGGCCGAAAATAGGGCTCAAAGTGGGAAAAATCGCTGATGCGTAAACATCGTCGAGACCGCTAAATTCGCGAGAACATAATTACGTAAGTTTTCCATCAAATTTCATACTTTTGGTGTCATTATGATCGGGAAAAGATTCTCTATCTTTTCATAAGAAAAAATAATTTTTTTTTTTAAATTTTGGCGACCCTGAGAACAAGTCTCTGAGAAGGCCTGGCGACCCTCAAAGGGTTAAAAAAGGTAAGTAAAAAAAAAAGTATACCTTTTTTAATTCAACTAAATAGTGATTTTGTAGCGACTAATAAACAATAAGAACTATGAGTGCTATTTCAGATACTTAGATAATTGACAGCTGACAAATATATGAAAAGAATAATAAGCATTAGAATTTTAGAGAATAACTGAATTTTGAAGTACAGTATAACACGATGGAATTACAGTTATAGATTGAGGTTTCATCACATTGTTCATGGGCATAAACTGCATTTTATTCTCACTCAGATAGGCCAGCCTTACTTAGGAATTATTTTAGCCTATTAATATAATCATCATTAATATAATAATCATGATTTGCATCACTCTGTCAACAGCTTCTTTGCCACATTTTTCAGTGCTCTTAACAGACACATTTTGAGCTCTACAACTTCATAGATGTTCATTCTTTTTATTGAGTTAGTTATTCTTCAATTTTTCGCTCACTATTTTGAGTTTTTAATTATCCTCTCCAAATGGGTAAAATACTTTGAAGGTACTATCAACCACAATTTACCTTTGCTTAACTGAATCCTTTGTGTGTGTAATTAGTGATAAACTCGTGTGGTCTATAATAAGCTACAGGCTCCAGATGCAATTAAGTTTTCAAAACATTACAACTGATAATGATATGTGCTGTTTCTCTTCAGACTCGCAACCACAGAAATTTAAAACAGCACCTTCGTGCTATGTATAGGACAAAAAGACAGCACATTACAAGATTGGAAAGTGCCACAGACACTGCAAAACTCATTCAGTTGTAAGTAAACACATTACTGTATAGTAACTCTTCTACTTATAACTCTGCTGCATTTCTTGAAAATAACAACTCATGTCCAAAACTTAAAACTCATTTTCCCATAAACATCCATGTTACAATCGGAGGTGTGTTCCCAAACCATAATATGCTGTATCTAATTTCATTTATTTTTTAATGTAGAATATTAACCAGTATTTTAACTTCAGTACTGTATCCTTGAAATTGCAAATAATAATAACCCTTTTACGTTGGGCCATAAAATTTTGGGGTTGCAACCGTGTCGGTGCCATAAACGCCAAAATTCTAGCGGCTTCAGATCTTGGGGGGGCAGCTGGAGGCTACTTAAAAGAATGGGTGTGAGTGTTTAATGTGTGCGTAAAAAGAAATCCCGCAGCACACTGCTAAAGAAAAAAAAAAAACTACGGTTTTTTGGTTTAAAAAAAACCCAAATTTGCAATGTTTTTTGAACGATATTTATGGTTGTATTCTCATTTTCTTGGTCTCATTTTATTTAAAGGGGTGGGGAGTTTGAAGGGGGGAGGAGAGTTTTAGTGGGGGGAAAAATGGGATTAAATCTGGAGTAAGAGAGAGTTGACCAAAAGGGAAGGGTAGCTAATGTTAAATTCATTTTGGGGGAGAAAAGGAATATAATGTGTAAATTCAAGAATTTGTGGGGTTTAAAAAAAGGTTGGATTCGAGAAATGGGTCCTAAAAAGCGTGTATTCACCGGGGGAAAGGGAAAGCAGAGGAGAGAGAGATTTTGGAGAGTTAAATGAATGTAAGGACCTTGAACCAAGTGGAGAGTAATTGTGGTAGGGGGGCCTGAATGCTAAAGTAGGAGAAATTTTAGGAGGGTGTGGTAGGGAATTTTTGGGGGCCAGGTGAAATGATAAGGGGCCCATTGATTGAATTTGTATAGAAAAGGGGGTTTTGTTATAGGTAATACAAATTTTTAAAAAAAAGGGAAAAAAAAGTATACAAGATAGATGTAGGGCGAAATGATAGTATTTTTTTGGATTTTGTATTGGTAATAAAAACTGTTGGTAGACTTCAGGGTACATGTTTTATAGAGGGGGCCCCAGATATTCAAACACTTTCTAGTTAGTAACGAGAGTAAAAGAGTGGGGTACAAGGGGAATGGGATCAGGGAAGAGAGAAATGAAGGGTTTTAAACTAAAAGAGGAGGCAGTTAGGGTAAAAATAAACAGCTATTCCGGAAATGGGGTAAAGAGGCATAGGCAATGGGGTCGAAGAGGTATGGGGTAGGTTTTTTAAAAAAATAGGTTAGATGTTCAGCAGAAGTTTGTGGTTACAGAAGTGGGTGCAGGAGGAAGAGGAGCGATTGGTGGAATGATGAAAATTAAAAAGATGTAAGGGGGAAAAAGTTGCATATGAGAAATTTTACAAAGTAAAGTGTGCAAGGGGGGAAAGTTATGGGAAAAAGAAGAGGTTAAAGAGTGGTGAGCAAAGTAAAAGAAAACAAATGAGAGGGGGGGTGAGATGTTATCAACAAATTTTGTTGAAAATAGAAAAAGTTTTGGAGGAGATTAAAAAATTAAAAAAGCCTAGAAACAAATGGGTTTGTCAGTTAAAAATAGGAGAGGGGGAAATTTTTAAATGGAAATTTGAGGTTTGGGAAAATGGAGGGAAAATTTTGAGGAATTGTTAAAAGTTATGAAGATAGGAAGCGTGATTTCGGTATAGGGCAAGGGGGAATAACAACTTGTAGGGGTGGAAAAAGCCAGTTGTGAGGGGGGGGAAATTTTGTGAGCATAGGTAAAATGAAAGGGGGGAAGGGACCCCTTTTGGGGAAAAAAAAAAATGTAAAAGCAGGTGGGAAAAAGTTTTGGAGTGGGTTGGGCAATTATTTAAAAAAATGTATGGAAAGGGAAAAGGTACCTGGGATTGGCAGGAGCATGCAAGTTCCTTTGTATAAAGGGAAAAGGGGATAAAAGAGAGTCAAAAAAAATTTAGGGGAAAGTTGTTGAGTGAACCGGAAAGTGTATGGTAGAGTTATAATTGAAAAAATTAAGGTAAGACGGAGAAAAGGATAGCAATGAACAAGGAGGCTTTAGGGAAAAGGGAGGGGGTTGTGGACCAGGTGTTTACAGTGAAACATATAAGTGAAAAGTATTTTGATAAGGTAAAGAGGTCTTTGGGCTTTAGGATTTTGGAAAAGGCAAAGACAGGGTGGATGGGGGGCAATGGGCAGATGTTGCAATTAGGGGAGGAGGTAGTTTTGAAAACATGAAGAGTTTTTAAAAGAGGAAGTGAGGCTCAAGTTAGAGTATGTAGGAAAGAGGGAAAATTTTTTCCCAGTAAAATAGCCTTAGACAAGGATGGTGATTCACCGTGGGTTTTTTTAAAATATTTATAGATGGGGGTTAAGAAATAAATGCAGGGTCTTGGCAAGAGGCGTGGAGTTAAAAATAAAGAAACACACACAAATGGGGGTTGTCACGCTGCTCTTTTTGGGTGACACTGTGCTCTTGGGGGATTTTGAAGAGAAGTTGCAGAGTTGGTGGTGGGAAATTTTTTAGGGGGGTTTCAAAAGAAGAAAAATTAAAGGGGAATACAGGAAGAAAGGTTTTTAGGAAAACAAAAAGATTAGGTGATGAAAGATTGAATATCAGATTGGAGGGGGGAGAGTATGGGGGAGGTGAACGTATTCAGATATTTTGGGGGTGGACGTGTCGCGGATGGTCTATAAAATAGGGGGAATCATAGAATTGAAGAGGGAAAAAGAGTGATGGGGCACTTAGGGGTTGTGGAGACAAAAAACTTTGTCCTTTGGGGGAAAGAGGGAAGTATGAGAGTATAGTTTTACCAACGCCCTATATGGGGTGGTGGGGATGAATGTTGCAGCGAGGAGAAGGCGGAGGCAGTTGGAAACCGGAATTTAATTAAACAAACAAAACAAAAAATTATTTCTGTAAAGTAGTACAGTATATAATATAATGTGATTGTTCATATACAGTGGACTGGCTTACGAATTTAATTAATTTCGTGGACTTTGTTCGTATCTGATTTGTTCGTATGCTGAGTCAATTTTCTTCATTTTAAATTAATTGAAATGCAATTTATTTATTCAGGATGAATTCCTGTTCTCAGGAGGGCATTACAAAATAATCCTAACACCCCCCCAAAAAAAAAAAAAAACAACTCCACATTATCAAAATCTACAGCTTATTTATGTCACAAAAAATACTTGATGTAACGCTATTAACACCTGTATGGCTTATTTATCTTCACAGTTCCTCTAATATGACATAATAAACAGTATAATACACAGAACCTGATCATAAACTCTATAATGCATAAAATAGGCCATAATAGTGGCAGAGGCAGCGGAGCGGCGGAAGCATCCGCCATTTCCTGTCCCAACTTTGACTATGTAGTTTTCCATGCTTTATTGTAGAGAAAATAGGGTATTTTGAGGCCAAGCATTAGTCACTAGTTTTCTAAGGAAAACACTGGAAATTATTGTATATAAACAATAATAAACCATATAAGCTACAGAATGTAAAGAAATAATAAAACTGTTTAAATAAAGAGTATCTGTATCTATACACTTGGAGCAAGATGGTGGCAGAGGTTGGAGTGTGGAGGAGGTTGAGTGTTGGGGAGTTGAGGGTGGGAGAATTCACAGTGAGCATATGATGTTAGTGGCCTATAACCTGCAAACAACAACAACATGTTATGTTTGATCACTGAAACTTAATATACATTTGTTTTATCACTTAACTGATACAGTTTGATTTGTTAATCACTGAACATAAACTGATACAATTGTTTTGTTTAACTTTTCACTTTCAAGCATAAATGTCTCGTGCCTTCTCGCAGATGACACCCTTCAGTTCATGGTATCTCTGCGACCTGCTTCTCTCTCAAACACATCAACAGAAGCTTCTCCAACTTTTCATGGACAGAGGTCTTACAAGCTTAGTTGTTATTGTAATGCCCTTGGTGGTGCTATAGCCTTTATCGACTCCTGTTCTTTTGTGTCGTACCAAATATGTAGATGTACCTTGTGATATGTCTGGCTAAATCCACACTCGTGCACTTGCTATGTTTTGTCTATTATTTCATGCTTTACTTACATGGAAATCTCATCTTTTTCTTTCAGCACTGTCTTTGCATTAATTTCTTAGGACCCATGGTTAGAAAAAATGAAATTTGCAAAATGACTGTCAAAAAATGTAAGAAGGCAGGTGAAAGGGGGGGAAATTCTGCTCCACAGCGAGTAAACACATTTTCGCTACTGAAGGTTTTGGAATCAAGCTGTGCAACTAGCAGTAGCATTTTTAATTATTATTTAACTATTATGTACATAATACATATGTACACCCTACCATCCTACTTACTACTGCTCAACATACAACCATTCGACTTAAGACCTTGTTTTCTATGCCAAAATTTCTGGGAAAATAAACAACTGTTTGGTTGTACACAGTTGGTTTTATCCTAAACCATAACAGTATAAAATTACAGTACTAGCAGCATTAGAAAGTAAAGTAAAAAATGAAATACCCAAATAAAAACTAATAAAATAAAAGTCAGTACAAAATGTGATGTTGATATCAGAAAATAGTAAGTTTGACTTATGTCTATTTTGACTTATGACTGGGTTCTTTGGAACCAAAATCGGTGTAAGTTGGATGGTACTTGTAATTGTAAATAATTATTATAATATTATTAATTTTTTTTTACAAAATGGCGTTATCCACCAGGCAGGGTGGCCCTCCAAACGAAGTTTTCTTTTTAAAATTTAGTAATTTATTTAGTCGCCCTCTTATAAAACGCCGTGGCTTATGGGGAAGGAATCTGTTCCACTTACCATGAGATAGAGAAAACAAAACAAGAACAAGAACTAGAGTAAATAGAAGAAAAACAGAGTATGTGTATATTATGCTTGCACATGTATTTGTAGTGTGACCTAAGTGTAGTAGAGTAGCAAGATGTACCTGAAATCTTGTGTTCATGAGACAGAAAAAAAGGAC